CATTGTCAAATGCCCGAGTCCACTTCTCCACTGGAATTTTATCAATCCACCTTAATGCTTCTGAGTTTTCCAACTGGATTTCTTCACGATAGTATCGGAATGACAATTCTGTTAAGGCATACCCTATATTAATAACTTTCTTTCGAAGTGTCTTGTCTTTGATATGGAGCATGAAGTTTTGTGTGATATGTCTAATGCAATAGACATGTGTCGAAGGGGATCCTGCCAACCATTATCAGGGTTATTATATGCACTCACAATTGATGGATGTCTATCTAAAATCAAAAAAAGGTTGGGTTGTGGAGCAACGTGTAATCGAAGATTCTTCAGAAAGAAATTCTATGTACCACCTGTCTCACCTTCAACTAGAGCAAAGGCAATCGAAAAAACATTAATGTTCCCATCTTGTGCCACTGGCATGAGTAATGTTCCTTTATACTTCCCGTATAACCAAGTTCCATCAATTTGTATAATAGGTTTGCAAAATGCAAAACCCTTGATGCATGGTTCAAACGCCCAGAACAATCGATGAAATATTACATTCCCACTAACACGAGTTCTGTCTGGGGTAAAAGCCGGAAGTGTCTCCAAAATTATAACAGTTCCCGGAGCATAATATTTGAGTGCCACCAAAAATCTTGGAAGTTCTTTGTACAATTCCTCCCAATTACCGTACACAAGTTCAACTGCCTTAGTCCTCCCGATCCATGCCTTCCTTTAAGAGGGAGTATAATTGAATCTCGTAGTGACATGAGAAATAATTTTACTCACCTTTAATGATGGATCTTTGCTAATAAGAGGCAAGATTTCTTGACATATTAGTTGAGAACTAAGTTTCCGATGATCCTGTGTCGGAATGGTGGTGATGCAAGTGTAGAGTGGATAAATGGAACCTATTTCCCATGAATCACTTCTCTTCCTGTAAGATGCATTTAACCGAAAAGGGAAAATTGGTTTTTGACGACATAAAATAACGTACCTCCCTGAATTATTTTTATCTACAGTGAAGTCAGCTAAAATTTCCATGTGGTATTTTTTGATAGCTATAAGACACTCTTCTTTTGTTCGAAATTTGTCTCCAAATTTCAAGGCCCCTTCAGTCTGCATATAAGGATCATGAAAGATATCTGAGGCTGGTTCATCTCCCCTAAGTTCAAGTTCATCATGTGAAGGGTCGTACGCATGACTTGCATGTATAGGTTCATGCTCTTGATCTGCAACGTCATCATTAACCATAAAATCAATCATTGCCTCATGATCATCTTCTTCTTGGTCAATAACATTGACTTCAGGATGGTTGTCCTCGTCAGATTCATCCTCTTCTTCAAAGTCTTGAGAAGGATCTACCACCTGAGATTGATCTGGTTGTTGTAATAAAACATACTGCTCAATCTCATCGAACCCGAATTGTTCATTAGTTCGAAACATGTTTCGAACATCATCGTCATCGTGCACCTTAAGTTGATAAAATTTGACTTGGTTGTTGTCAAATAGAAATGGGGACTTATAAAGAATTTGGTAAACAGTACCACATTGCAATTTGGATTCTACTCTATCTTTGAAGCGTGCAAAACTTGATTTCTTGTTTATCCGAAAGCGGATAAAATTGATATTACGGAAATTAAAACCTAAGTTATCGCAGTTGAACGTCTCACCGTTAATATGGGCAACAATAGTATAATTTTGTGAATGATACATATTGTTGAGGTATGTTTTTTGTGAGTTATGGATGTATACTAGTAATGCAACCTACACAGACGATTAAATAGACTGATATTCTGCATACATGTGCCACCCTAGGTGGCTAATCCTCCTATTTTCTCATGCATGTGCCACCCTAGGTGGCTTATCCTCCTCTTTATGCATGCACGCGCCACCTAGGGTGGCTTATCCTCCTCTTTTTGCATGCATGCGCCACCTAGGGTGGCTTGTCATTGAACAACAAAACTTGCATGCATGCCATTTGATCCCTACAACGCTGTAGGTTTGCATGCATGCAAAAAGCAAGAAGCCATGTTGAATGGCGCTTATATACAACAAAGATAAGTGGCGCCTATTTGTAATAAGGAAGAGAATGCACCACCTAGTGTGGCGCCTATGTGTATAAGTTTCATGCAAAGTGTTCTTCAAGATTTTCTTATAAATACATGTAACATTCACCCTATATTTTCATCACAATCATAACTCATACACTATTTCTGTCTTGAAGTCTCAACAACAACACAAGAGTAATCAAGAAAAAATGTCTCTCTTGACCATGGGTGATCAACATAGAGGAACTCCGAACAACATTGAAACCTTTGTAAGTGTATTTTCCTCAATATTTATTTTTTGCCGATAATTTTTTGTTCCTTAATTCTTATGATTGTTATACGTAAATCTTGTATTTCTTATACGTAATTCATGTTTTTAATAGGATGTTAAAAGATTTCGTTATCGTGTCCATGAGTATGTCCCTTACAACGTTCAAATTGAACCGTACTTACGACATGTCGGTTTTGGTCTGTTACTCAACATAGTCAATTACCATGTTGACTATAAAATTTTCTCGCATTAGTGGAGAGATGGAGACCCGAAACTCACACCTTTCATCTTCCATGTGGTGAATGTACAATCGCACTAGAGGACGTGTACATGTTATTCGTTCTACCGGTCAACGGTAAGGCTGTTAATGGCCGAGTCAACCAAGACAACGCCATATGCGAGGAACTTTTGAGAGTCTCTTTATTTGAACAAGGATCAAGATGCCAAGGTATTAATCTTCGTCTTCTTAGATAATATCATATTAGTCTCGTAATAACCAAAAACTCTACCGAGCAAGAAAAAATTGTGAAAGCTCGGTGTTACATAATGATATTATTTGGCCATTTTTTGTTTCCTGAAACAACAGGTAATACTGTTAATATCATGTATTTACCCTTGTTAAGACAATTTGATAAAATAAACACATATAGTTGGGGTTAAGCTGTTTTGGCCAATCTGTATAGTTCCTTGTGTAAAAATGCATCGAACGGTAGTTGTTCTTTTTATTCTTGCGCCTTTTTGCTCCAGACATGGTGCTGGTCGAAAATGCAGACACTCGCCCCCCCCGCAACACAAGGCCATTCGTCTTCCCCTTTGATACAAAGTAAGATTACAAAACCATAAATTTTACATATTATATACCGAGACATGTAGTGTATTAATTTATTATCCATTTTTTCTATGTAGGTGATCTGTTTCTGGGATGAATTACAACAAATCCCCTAGAAACACAATAGTAGTCTACCAAAATCTTATTGATCATGTTGGACCCGAAGAGGTATTAAACTTACATATTTTATACAACGCATTCAATATTTTAATTAAGTTTAATATTTTATATAACTTTTTTTACTCTACAGTTTGTATGTAGGCCGTATAAGGATCTCGACCATGAGATTAACCCTTCTGATGCTGAAGTCTGGACTGCAAAAACAACACTCATCAAGTTCACTACTATGGAGATGCACCACAGTGATTGTGTGAAGCTACAGTTCGGCATGCAACAGGGTATCCCCGACCCCCAACATGTTTGGGCCAATGGCATCTACTCAGAGTTGACGACCAGTGTGGATTTAACAATTTGAGAGACTTCGCTAAAAATCAATGTCGTCAATGGAGGCATAGACGTGAACTGGTCCTAAGGGATCTGATCTTGCAAGATGACTTAAAATCGACGCTCCAATATTTGAGATGGTACACATCGGTTTCAACAAATTTGTTTCTGTCTCAAGAGACTTATTTGATTGACCCACGCCAAAGAACTGCAACATACGCCTAACAACAACCCCAACAACCAACCCCTCAACAATATCAAACCCAACAACCAGCCCCTAAACAATACCAAACCCATCCACAATGTCAACCCACTCAAACCCAACAACCATACACCACCTCATTCAACCAAACTCGTCATCAATTCATGCCATACACACAAACACAATACCAAGAGCATGACTCGACCCACCACCAACAATATGCACCATCCTCATCCTACCACAACACCCAAGACACATATGATACACCTCCTTCCTACCATACCACTCAACCTACATACAGTCAAACATCATACCATCGAAGTACCCAACCATCATACGAATTTCATACACCACAAGAACTGTTGCTTTATTTTCATCACGATTCAACATCCCAATACTATCAACCACCCCACCACCCACACATATCCCAACCAACAAGACCAAACTTCAACAATATAGGCACCGATCTCTTTGGAAGCACAACACAGTGGAGCGAAATGATCGATGAAATATATGATCCTGATATACCAGGACCATCACATCAAGCACCTCATAATCAAGCAAGTCAGAACAGACCACAAACACCTCAGAAAAATCAACAGAGAGGAGTGAGACAAGGGGCGAGGTAAAGGCGCGGCCGTTTATGTCATACAGGGACGCGCTTAGGTTGAGGAAACGTCCAAAAAAATGCATCCATGCGTTGTGTAATATTAAATATTAATATAAAATATTTTTAGTTTTTATTTTATTTTATTTATAAAAAAATTGCAATTACATTGTCAAGCCAAGGAAGGTGGCGCCTCCTCTCAAAAGCATATGCATGCGCCACAGTGTATAGTTTTACAGAGGAGGACAAGTCATGCAGTGTGGCGCCTCCTCTTTAAATTGAGTGCATGCGCCACACAGAGTGGCTACTCCTCTGTGTAGCGAATTTTTTTTGTTTGGAAAATAATCATTTTGATAAAAATTTTGAAAAATTGATTATTTGAGAAAAAACATTTTAAAAAATAATTATTTAAAAAAAAAATCAAATAAAATACTCATAGGCACGTCAATTTGGTTTATTTCAAAACAATAAAAATTAAGGGTTAGACTTAAAAAAGAGATCAGAATTTTTTTAATTTTTATATACAGTTCTCTATTTTTGGTTCCTCTGAATCCGATTTCTTTCTGGGTCATCATTGTCTTTCTTGTTACCGCAATTTCATTTTTTCTATTTTGATGGATAATAAAGGTAAAGCTACCAAAACCCTAGTTTCATCTTTGCAAAACCTAAATTTGAATCCCCAATCAAATTTCAAATCCAAATCCTCCATTGCCATAATCAACCACCCTCAATTTCCCGGTAATTTTTTCTTCATCCCTTCCCTTTTTCTCTTGTCAAGCTTTTCTTCAAAAAACCCTCATTTTGGGGCTTTTTGTTTTTGGTTGATTTCATGTTTTTTTATTCTTCAGCTTGAACTTTAGGTCATGTGTTAGAATTTAGAATGAATGATTGTGCTGGAAATTGGGGAAGATTGGGTTGAGTTTGGAATCTGAATAGGATGATTAAAGTTTGTTTTTTCTTCTTCTTCAAAGGAGCTACTTGGTGTGGGATAATTCTAACTTATGGGGGGTTTATGTGATTTACATTAGGTTATTGGTTTAAATCTCGTGTTTGTTTGGATAAACAACTTAATTAGGGGTTTATGCTATAGGTGCTTATCATGTAAGTGTATGTAAAAGTTGTTTTAATAACTTATAATATAAAGTCAAACTAGTTTTATTTAATCTATAAGCTGTTTATATAAGCTATTATCTTGGAGAGCTTAAGGAAATAAGATATAAGATGAAAACAATTTATAAGCTGTTTCTATAAGCCGTCTCAACCAGTTTATTCAAGATCGAGTGTTGGATCGTAAGATCTTACGTGGTAAGGATGCCTGAGAGTGCTACGATCGGAGAACAATCGTTTTTGTTGTCGGCGTAGTCAAGATCGAGCTTTTTGACGCAAGATCGTATAAAAATGTGTTGGGTCTTTTTTTTTTGGGGCCTGTATTATGATTTTCATGTTTTTGTGTATGTGTCTGCAAATATATGCATGAAATGACCCTTTTTCCCTTCGTTACGTGCCTGCTAACAATCCGAGTTTTCTGGTCTTTCACAAGCCGGTCGATCCTACTTAAGATCTCGTGTTTGACTACATTGGTCTCAACTCTAGCACTTATACCAGTAGATACTCAATTAAGTCAGTCCACATAGGCATTTGGTTGTAACCATGTAACACTGCTTTTTCCCCAAGCTTATGCAACAGAAGATGGGATTAAGTAATTCTTTGAGAAATTTGTTGTGCAGGATTTCTATCTAAGAAAAAGCCTCAAAGTCTAGTCAACCTTTGCATTGGAGTTATTGGAAGACATTTGGAGGATATTATTGAAGATTTGGATGAGATTGCTATTGGCTTGCCGGGTGATATTAAGGTAGTTTGGTAGAGAGTGATTTTATCCTCCTTCAAATCTTTTTTTAGGTCATCAATCACACATACTTGTCCAAAGAGAGAATCCTTAATTATGTACATGTCGTTTGAAGATGTAACCTATAATGACAGTTAGCGGTGGCAGCTATTGCTAGACGGAGAAAGTTGCTTAATGATGATGTCCTGATTGCGTTGGCTGATGCTTCCTGGGAAATCCTTGATGTCTCTGGCTCAGATGTTTCGGATTTTGGCTTGACAAAAGCAGCTGAAGTATGTAGATTCATTAAAGCTCTGGACATAAGGTAGAAAATTATAACCTTTTGTTTTTAAAATAACAAAGCAAGAACTATGGCATCATTTTAATGCAAAAGAAGATTCTTCATGTTTGAGGAGAAGATTTCTTTAAAAAAAAAGTTTAGAATAAGATAAATTGTCATTTTCCACCCACATTATTTAGTCTTTTGAATTTTGTCGTATATTCAAATTTCATGAACATTTCTTACAATAAGCTCTAGTTTTAATCTTAAGTTTATGTGATGTTACAAGAACATGGTATACCTCATACAATGGACCTGCTGGCAGGCACTTCCAGGTTCCAGCAAATATTATTCTATTTGAAATATATCACGAGTATATTTGAAAGTAGGCGATCAACAGAATATATGTTTCTTCTTTGGTCTTCCATTATGCTTTTTAGTTTTGCTTCTATTAGATGTGATGATTATTATTAATTTTCTTCACTTTGATTCTGATCTGTCAACAACCTTTCACGGGGTTAGCCTATTGTGATTTGTGTCTAGTTTTCTAGCATACGTATTTATAGTTTCTAGTTTGTTATTTTATATTATATTTCTTTCTTTCAGAATCACTTGATATATTGAGACTATTTGCAGCCGGTGCACCAAAATCACTGCAATTGGTATATCTGAACTTGTGAAGCACTGCCCTTCATTGGAGACATTAAGATGCGGGTACTTATATTCCTTTTATCCCTTTTGAGTTATAGTTCTACGTTTTAGCCGCTGTGTTACTTTTGAAGTGTATTTCATTTGTCATTTAGTACTTAATTTTGAAAAAACGAAAATTTTGCTTCAATGGACCATTTTAGTACCATGTTGACATTACAGCTGCATCTTCATTCTTTTGTAGTTAGGATATATAAAATAAGTTCACTTATAAATATGTCAAGCTATATCTATATCTACTCTTCATTATTTATGATGGCAAAATTTGGCTTTGGCAATTTGGTTTCTTCATGATGACAATAGATAAATTAACAAAGATAAATTAACTTAGTGGAAAAATATGTACTTAAAGTTTGAAACTTAAGTTTTCATTTTCCCCCCCTCCTAATAAAGGTAGTTTCCTGCTATATCATATAATGTTTTTATTTTTACTCACAGTAACCGCACGCGCTAGAAAATTGTTTTAACTTAGGATTACAAACCTCATAACAGGTAAAATTAATATTGCAGAGGGTGTCCAAGGAGTGACAACACAGCACGGAGATGCTTAAATATATTTAAACCAAGGCTAGAGTATGTGGAAGAGGATTCTTGGGAGGAGCTTGATACTAATGAAATTGCTAGTGGTGCACAATCACTCAGGTGGCTAGTATGGGTATGAAGTCAAGATCTATCTGGATTATGATATTCGTCCTTTCAGAAATGATTTTTTTTTTTGTACAATCTGATGTTGAAGAAATGATTTGTGTTAATTTAATCTTACCAAACATTGATAATTATTCTTTAGAGGACTTCTCTGCCGAGTGCCCGCGTATCATAGTAAATCCTAATCCATCTCCGTTTGGGTTTATGGGAACTCAGGTTCCTTTTGAAGCATTTCAAAATATCATACTAGATGATGCTCTTGTCAAAGAGATTGATCCCAAGACATGGACAATGCATGGGATTGCAAATAGGCGAATCTGTCCACCATCTTCAAGCTCTACTACTGAATTATCAGTCGCTGAAAAATTCAGACTTGCCTTTGAGGAAAGAGACAACCGGTTAGCTCCGAAGAGAGCTAAAAATGCCCGGCAACATCAGCGTCGGGCAGCACGGGACATGCTGTTGATGAGTACAAGAGCCAAGTCAATGGCCTTGGCATCACAAGTAAGCAAGTCTCTACATAGTTGAAACTTGAAACTTATAGTCTCAAAATTATAAAATGATGAATATTTTTTCGGTCATCTTAAAATGTACTATTAACTTTTGTATATATTTAAGAAGTTGTTGATTATTTATGTTCTATATCTAGAATATATTCCACAGCAAGTTGGAAACATCAAAGTTTGGAAATTGTCTTGTTTGAAGTTTTGACTAAGGGAACATTTATTTTCAATTACAATGTTATGAAAGGAACACACTGGCTTGGCTCATCCATGTGAGATTCTTGCTTTGTGATCCGACCTAGTCTTGCTATGTGGTTGTTAACAAAAGAGATTAGTATTGCTATGTGGTTGTTAACAAAAGCATCTCTCTTGATCATAACCCTTCCTTAGAACAGCCAAATCTATAAGATGATATAGTCTTTATTCTTGTTCGTATAACGTTTTTTAACTCTGAAGATAACATTGATAAACCATATCTCTACAATGTCAAATTCTATACCAACATTTGAAGATAAAATGAATAAAACCATGCTATAGCTAGGACTTAAAAAAAAACCGCGATCGAATTGAAATGTTGAATTGAATCGAATTGAAGTTAAAATAATCGAATTGTTATAATTGATTAGTAAACCAAACTATGTTACACAAACCGTTCTCGGACGAACCAATTGACAAATTTATTCCACAGTACATTGTTGAGCCTTTTAGTATTTGAAATGATTCATCACAACTCCAATGCAAACGAAGAATCAATGTATACTACTCTGAATCAATGTATACTCTTACTCAATAATTATCTACATACCAATATAGGATAAACAATTCAACGAATACAAGTGCAACACGCTCATGGCAATATTTTATAGATGAAATGAAAAAGAAGTTTAAATGGAATTATTTAAATATTAGTACGCATCAAATTTAGAGTGTTAAAATAAATGGGTTGGATGAATTTGAATGATAATTGATGAATCAAAAATCAAGAGTCGCGTATGATTTAAATTAACTCTATTAATTACATATTTTGAAAGACTCTCAGAAAGTCATACTATGTAGTAAGGTTTTGTGTGATGATACAAAGGCCAAAAATGTTAAATTGTGTGACAAGTATGATCTCAACTAAAAAAAGATAAAAGAAGGACCGTTGCTATATTGTTGGTGATTATTGTCTCAACATAATTTCGGTAAAAGTCTTGTATAAGAAAGATTATCATCAGGGCATCAGAGCCGGTTTCGACCTTTTAAAGGTCCGGGACAAGTTATAAAATTAAATCTTAAATTTTAATCCATAAAAAAAATTTAAATATTTAATTATGAAACCAAGTGGAATGGAAGTTTTAATAGATCCCACAAGGCATGGGTTTGATTCCTTTATACAATATTTTTCTTTTTCAGTTTTAAAAAAAAAACTATTGCTAACGTCTAATCTAAATATCAAACTCACGACATAATAGCAAAACAACAGTGTCACGCTGCTGAGACAATGTTACAATATTGTGTATATATTCAACAAATTATATATATATATATATATATATATATATATATATATATATATATATATATATATATATATATATATATATATATATATATATATACTATATATATATATATATATATATATATAATATATATATATATAATATATATATATATATATATATATATATATATATATATATATATATATATATATATATATATATATATAATATATATATATATATATATATATATATATATATATATATATATATATATATATATATATATATATATATATATATATATATATATATATATATATATATATTATATATATATATATATATATATATATATATATATATATATATATATATATATATATATTATAATATATATATATTATATATATATATATATATTATATTACTGAAGTCCACCACTCAATTTTTGAGGTCCTATTTTTTTAGGTCCTAGACTGTGGACTTGGTTGCTCTGGTCCAGGGCCGACCCTGATTATCACATTTAGTTCAGTAGTGGTTACATATATAAAATCACCAGAAATCACTAGTGCTATCAAAGAAACAAACTATCATAACTTTTTTGAGGATGTTTGTAATGCTATACCAGGATTATGTGAATACGATTGAAAATATATATAGTAATTTATAGCATAGGCCTTGATTAGTTTAGTAAGAACACACTCAAATTTTTTTCAAACATAATATAAGAAAATATTTTTTTATAGTTATTTGAGAGAGTTCTCTTGTAAGAATTTTGTTCACAATCTAAAGAGATGAGAGAGATATAGAGATATGTGTATCAATAACGTGTGCTTAAACTTTTAAAGTGAGAGACGACAACATATCTCCGAGAAGACAATATCAATCATATGGTACAAGCAATTTGGATTTCAACTATAAATATGATCACCAGATGTCAAGACATAAACAACTTAATTAAATGTTGGATCATCATGAGAAATTTTTACATTAGATTAAGAGTAACAGAGAGACACTATATATTCACCTAAAATCTTAAGATAATAGGTGTATGGATCATATAACCTTCACTTTTCTACGCAATGTGGAACTTTCAACTCACACTTGTACATAATAATCTCACTATTAAGTGTGATTTCATCCCACTATACTCTCTCTCAAGAAGAAACTCTTTTATTCACATACACTTCTATTATCGTTGCAGACACTACAACGTTACACATCGCCTGACACCTCATTGTCAAGAAGACTTTCGATACAAGGATCAGTCACTTAATTGAATCATCAGTTATGATACCACTGTTAGGTCATTATGAGGAGCATCCACACTGAGTCAAGAGCAACACACAAGTGAAAGAGACACCACATATTTACCCAAAATTTTAAAGACAATTTTTTCCATTAACATCTCAAGATTGTAATCTCTAAAGATAGTAATAATGTCATATTGTGGACCATTTTGTCCCTTGGCGTGCTGGGAATAATCAATGTAAAGAAGGTTCATGTGGTTGTCCCTTTCTAGATTATGGAATTTGTAACACCTATTCATTAAGTTATTATTCATGTAATTACCTATCTCTTGAATAGATCCCCATTATGAGAAGGGGAATTTTATGCGAAAAATGAAATAACAGAAAAGATAAAAGTACAATAAAGCTTCGATATCAAAAAATCTTCATGTAAACGGCCCCAAAAACTTGATCATGAGTGAATCGCAAATGCACAATTGTGTTAAACAGTAAAAAAATGAAACCCACAAAGAGATGTATGATTACCGAATTTTACTTCAACTATGTTTATCTAAAGCGATCGTAAAAGAGTTTGTTTGAAGCAATTTGAAAAATAGAATATAAAAAAAATAAAAATAGGACATGGGACTGTGATTAAAACTCTAGATTCACCCTAACAATTTATCCAAATTCAATTACGATATTAAATTGAGTTTTCATAGAAAATAGATAAAATTGTGTGTCACCCACTTTCGTGGCATGCACAATCTAGACTTTGATCTCATGATGACTAATGACTTTCTCATTTGAGATCAAGTCGCCTTGACAATGACACCTCAAACACAACTATATAGCAACCCTTTTTCATACATAAATACATATTCTTTCGAATCATGCTCATGTTCATGTTGACTTTTCTTTCGTAACCGACATAGACATGTGTATTGTAACTCGAATTCTAAAATAAAAGACACTCAAGACTATTGTCATAGCATATATATATATATATATATATATATATATATATATATATATATATATATATATATATATATATATATATATATATATATATATATATATATATATATATATATATATATATATATATATATATATATATATATATATATATATATATATATATATATATATATATATATATATATATATATATATATATATATATATATATATATATATATATATATATATATATATATATATATATATATATATATATATATATATATATATATATATATATATATATATATATATATATATATATATATATATATATATTGGGGGTTGTAATAAGATAAGCTCTCACAACCCTTTGTCATAAAGGGACCACTCACACATGGTGAAGCAAGTAACAACAATAATATTTAGAAACATTGTAAGAAACATAAACTAAAATAAGTAAAAGCAATAACAACTTAAAATAAAAGTTTTCTGATTTTTAGAAATGTGTTTCTTTCTTTTCAGGTTTTGATATATGATGAAAGCGGTAAATATGGAAAAGTAAAGAACACCAGAAATTTATCCTAGTTCCCCTCACAATCCGAGAGTACATCTAGTCCCCTTACCACATGTAAGATATTTTATTATTGTTAGATCTTATAGCCAAGACTCTCCTAGTCTCCCTATCTAACAAAATCACCAAGAACAATTCTCTTGTGATCAACCAAGTTGAAATGAGAACAATCCTCTCCAATTGAACATTGTTGCTTCCAACAATCCTAGACAACCAAGTTATACAAATCAAACAAGTAGAAAAAGAAAACAATCCTTTATTTTTCACTCTCTTGTTTCCAACAATCCTGGATAACAAGGTATACAAAATAATTCTGGAAAAATATATAAGAAAATGAAGTTGAGGAATAATTATGTAGAGTAATTATCAATTTTATATTCTTAAGTGATATATCAATATAAAAGATCTTCCATTCCAATAACAATAATTCACAAACACTAAAATGTTAGATTGCTCAAGAATTTTCTGGTTTAAAGGATATGAAAGTATGCAAAAAAATTCTTAAATAAAAGTTGAAACACTTAAAATGTGATTTTCGAAAGTCTAAGTGTTTGATTGGAAGATGTAAGTTGTAATTTAAAAATGCTTGACTTTAATATGAGTAAGATACCTTTTAGAATCGTGGTTGATGTTCAAAAAAATATCATGAACAAATGAAAAGGTTTATAGAAGAGTAACCATGAAAAGGTGTTTGAAAAAACTATTGTTTTTAAAAAACGCACAGATGCAAATCAATTGATGTTAGGTGCAAATCTATTTGCATAGT